CCCTTGTCATCCTCTTCATTTCTGTCTTTGCCCTTTTGCAAGTCTGTGCTGGGATTGTTACCCTCCCTCTCTATCCTCAGGCTCCGTGTCTGGATTACTGCCCAGCCTGGAACAGATTTGCTGGAGGAGGGAGCAGGCTAGTGATAAGACTGGCAGGGAAAACAGCCAGGGAAATGAGGGAGGCCCAAAGTCAAACCTCCCATTTTAATAGCAGCCTCCACGCCACTTGTTCTGGTTGCAGAGGAAGCTGATGATTTTGTGACCATGCTGTTGGATTAAAAACTTGCCAACAGGGCCAGGGATTTAGCTCAGTGGTTCTGCTCCCTGCCTTGCAAGCACAAGGTCCCGAGTTTGATCCCCAGTACCAAAAAAACCCCAAGAAAACAAATAAAAACTTGCTAACATATTTGAAGGCTAAAGGGGAAAACCAGAAAGAGTTCTACCATTTTAAAAATTATGAGTGCTTGCTAGTGCCGAGGGCCTCTGATGAGACTGTGGTTTGAGTTGTTTGGGTCAATGCAACACCTTGAGCTGTTGGCAAGCTTCCCACCTTGGTGATCTTCCTGTGAGGATCCAGGCTGGTGAGGGACTGGTTTAGGCATTCAGGTCTTTGCATTGTCCTTGTTTGCTTTCCTAGTTGAATGGCTTATAAGATGTAAAGAGTGGAAAATAAACATTAAAATACCTTCCTGGGTACTTCACTCAGAAACAGAAATTCATAAAACCTATTGCTCTGGCATAGCCCCAACCAGATCAGAAAGCAAGAACTAACCCATGAGGCAAATAGTTACTGCCTAATGGAGGAAAACCAAAAGGAGAAAAAAATTTAAGTTTAGTAAAATAAATTACAGAAACCCAAATCAACCAGCTAGGAGACGCACAAAATTTAAAAATATTTCTATGGAAACATTCACAGTGGTTTAGGAAGAAAAATCTATGGGTAGAGGTTGGGTGTGGTGGCACATGCCTGTAATCCCAGCTGGGGGGGGGGGCGGCAGTGCTGAGGCAAGAGGGCTGCAGATTTGAGCCTAGGCTGGGCTACATAGCAATTTAATGAGACCCTGTCTGAAAAAAAAGGAAAAGGGCTGGGGATTGTAGCTCAGTGCGAAGGTCTTGAGTTCAATGCCCAGTACTGGGGGGAAAAAAGTCAATAGAGTTATGTCTGGAAGAAGCAGTGAGGACAATAGAGAGAGAACTGGATGGAAGGGAGAACAAACAGGGTGACAATCAGCCAGCTGCTGGTTGTTAGTACCTCGTCTAGCCTGTGTGAGTCTGTTTCCTCAGCTATGCAAAGGGGGTTTAATATCAGTCAGTCAGTCAATCTGGTCTTTATATGGATTCTCCAAGCCTCTGACCAATTTTGAAGGAGCCTTCTGTGAGTACTGGATTTGGACAAAGCAGAATGCACAGGCCCCTTTCAGAAGAGGGGCAGAAGTGACCCAGGCCAGTGCAGCTGTGGGTGGCCAGTCATAAACACATCTCAGAGAACAGGCGAATGAAGGGAGCTGTTGACGCTAGAAGCGCCACACTGAAGCGGCTGTGGAGAATCTCATTCTACATTTCTTCAAGGGCCTCCTGTGTGCCGGCTTCCAGTCTGCTCCTCTGGTTTTCTGCTCTGCATAAAGAGTGAAAATATTCACTTGGGGCTGAGGCAAAATGAAATTTGCCTTAGAAATCTGCTTTAGTTTGCCTAAGATTTCTCTGTCTCTGGCTAGTACTGGGGGTTACAAACTGAGGTACATCCTCAGCCCTTTAAAACTTTTTGATTTTTGAGACAGCTCCTTGATAACTATGTAGCTCAGGCTGAGCTCAAGCTTACCATCCTCCTGCCTCAGCTTCCTAGAGTGCTGAGATCACCACCACGCCCTGCCTGCCTGGGAGCTTTGGCTCCATGTGGCCCTGTCTGCTCCTTGGTATCCTCAAACACCACCTAAGACTGTTGTCAGGCTCTTTCCTTAATCACAGGTCTCAAACTGCTCTCCATTCTGCCAGGCAGTCTGGTTTCCTTAGTCACCACTTCATCCTTTCTTTACTCTCCTCAAACTTCCCTCAGCCTCTCGTCACTCAGAGGCCTCATCCCTCATCTTCCCAATGTTGAAACCACAAGTGCACTTCTTCCTCATGACCCTCATCCTTCTTCCTACACAGGCCCATCGGTGCCTCCCTTTCGCCTCTCCAAGAACTTTTCTCTTTTTATCATAATATTTATTTATTTATTTGGCACCAGGGATCGAACTCAGGACCTTGTGCTTGTGAGGCAGGCGGCGGCACCACTGAGCTAAATCCCCGGCCCAAACTTTTCTTTTTAATCACCCCTTTCTCTTGCCCCTCTAATCTCTTCCTCTCCTGTTAACCCTCTCATGATTGCACAAATCGTGATCCAGCCTCTCCTTCCTTGAAAAACAAAATGACAGAAAACACCCCAAAACCCCAAACACAAAACACGCGTGTGTCTTCTAACCTCTTTAGGATTGCCTACACTTCCTAAGCTCCCTTGCTCAGTTCTCATTCAGTCTTCAGAACTCTCTAGTCTGGCTTTGCCCTCCCCTCCCCTCAGTCCCCATCATACCTGCATGAAGGCCGCTGTAACTTTGCAAAAGATGTACCCAAGTCTTGAGGCCCAGGACCTGTGAGATTTGGAAAAGGGAACTGGCAGATATAACAAAGTTAAGCATCGCCACAGATCATCCAGGATTTAGGGTGGGCCTTAGGTTCCATGTTCATAGAAGAGAAAGCAGTGGGAGATTTGATACACAGGAGACACGCGACACACGACTCAGGGGAGAAGGCCATGTGAGATGGAGACAGAAATTGGAATGAGAGGTCCCTAAGCCAAGGATTGCCAGGGAATGTGGCAGTCACCAGGAACTAGAAGAGACAAGGAAGGAGTCTTCCCTAAAGCCTTTGGAAGTATAGAGATGTCTGGGCTTCAGAACTGTGAGAGAATAAGTTTTTGTTGTTTCAAGCCACCGAAGTTGCAGACATTGTATGATGACTCTAGAAAACCAATAGTCACCAGTGACTTCCATGTTACAAAACCCCAGATGTGCTGCTGCCTCTCTTGTGCTTTGCAGCAGTGTTGGATTCAGTTGACTTTGTCTTTCTTGAAGCATCTTCTAGTCCTGGCTTCCAGGGAACCATTTCTTTGTGTTTCATCTTCGGGCCCTTGCCAGCTCTCAGCTTCTGTCGAGTCTGAGTGTCTGCTTGTCTCCCATTAGAGTCTCTCAAGGGTTCCTGTCCATACCTGTGGCTGTGAATAACATCTGCATCCTCACCTCAGTGCTGTGCATGGCCCTCTTGATGCGACAACTTAGATCCTTCACACATTTACATGAACAAAAGCAAACTTTTTTTTTTACTTTAATTTGCATTTATTTTATGTTACATGCATTCCTAGCCTGCTTTTGTTTCTTTGGTTCCTTCTGGGGCATCCCTTTCCTTCTTCTTTTTTTTTTTTTGGTACCAGGCATCAAACTCGGGACCTTGCACTTGCAAGGCAGGCGGCAGCACCACTGAGCTATATCCCCAGCCCTGGGACATCCCTTTCTTATGTGCATCCTCCTTTTCTGGTTTAGGAACAACGTGCTCTTGTTTAGAGGGGTCATCTTGGTGTGGTAGGGGGCTCAGGCTTGCGTTCATCCCAGCATGTGCTCTGTAAGCTCTGTGCACGCGTGGGTGCTTTGTTCTCCTGCATATGCTCAAGGACCACAGAACCTACACCAAAACCTCTAAGTAAGCAGAACTCTACCTTTTCAAACAGATGCAGCAAAACCTTGGCACTCTTTTGGGGCCACTGACCCTGGGTCCAGTCCCACAGTGTGGCCCAGGGCAACCTGCCCACATCACCACGGTTACCACTGCAGTGATGGGATGGCACACCTTGCTTCTGAACAGTGACATCTTGCAGACACTTGGTGGCTTCCAGAGCAGGCGTACCCTTGATGACCTGGGCAGTTCCACTGTGCTCTTAAAGGGAATATGAAGATTTGAATCTCTCGATTTTCATGATTTTGTGGGTTTTCTGAGTTCAGGTGAAATCATCTTCAGAGATCACCTCAGGCTGCTTGTGTGAAGGGCACAAGATAGAATTTCTGCTCTTCATTAAAGTTATCCAATCTCCCCTTCCTACTCTGGTTTTTCACATGTGAAGGAATGGCATGTCCACCCCACACCAGTGACTTCCTAGAAACTTGGGAGTTCTTCTTCCTCTGAGCAGGTCTTGCTGATTTAATGTTGAAAATATACCTTGACCCCATTTACTTCTCTTTGTAGCCACCATCACCATCCGGTGACCACGTGGATATTCTCACTGGTCTCTTACACAGGAGACTCCTCACGGGTCTCGGGCTGGTTTTCCACACAGCCACCCAGCACTTTCAATAGAGCAGATCAGCCTCCACACCATGACAGCACTCCACAGGCTCCCTGTGAAATGAGCACCGAGTTCAAACTCAGCGAGGCCTTTTGTGACCTTGTCTCCACATGCAGCCCCTTTTGGCCCTGCTGTGCACAGTTGGTCCTCTGAGAACTTACCAAGCTTTTCCATCCTTGGGCGATCTCTGCTGGCAGCCTCTTCTTCCGAGGGAACTCCTGACAGGTTCCTCCTGTACCCCCCTCCCCTGGCCACATTATACCAGTTTCTCCTGTTACTTCCTCCTCCATAGAACTCACCCTTCCCCCCACAGCATTTGCCAGTCAGTAACTCCACAGTAGGATTGTGTGTTTATTCGCTCTCTCCTCAACTGGGCTGCTCCCTGACAGGGATTGTGTCTGTTTCTCCTCATCAACCACAGAGAGCCTAGCTCAGGGGCAGGCACAGCAGGGAGGCCCCACAAATATGTGTTCAACAGATTCTCCATCTCCTCTTCTACTTCCGGTCATCTCTACAAAGGCTCTTTCGGTGACCCACAAGGAAATAAAGGCAATACCTAACTTCAATTGTATGAAAACCCAAAGACAATGTTTTACAAACATATAAATTATTTTATTTACAAAGCCATGTTACAAAAAAAAAAAAAGCAAAAAAAAAAAAAATACAATCGCTCACTGGAGAATATTTCCAGGCCTGGTGGTGAACCACTCAGTATCAATAGATACATGTTTGTTCTTTCCTTTTAAAACTGTAAGCCATAGAATTTACTATTTACACCTACTTCAGACATTTATTCTGCTTACAATATCACAGGCATGGAATGGATTCTATCTGATAGTGCTAAGACATAAAGGTACGAGACCAAGGGAGAAAATACTTAGTGTTACAAAATATGGATCGTAGAAAAGAAACCCACTCACAAGTGTGGCATTTGTTTAGAATGATTGGACATGCTTTCTTCAAAATTCTTCTGGAAAAGAGTCTAAAACCGGTAGTAGGAAAGGACAAATGAGCAGGTGCAAATTCTTTTCTGTGCAACAATAGTTACTCAGTAAACCCCATGACGGACCAGCTACATAAAACCCACAGAGTTTTGTTAAAGTGCCATGGGCCGACAGCATAACAAAATAGAAGGTGTAAATAGAAAATTTCTTTTTTTCCTTTTTTAAAACAAGAGTTCACTGAGAATCAGCAATAATAGAATATGCTGTATAAACTATTCTCTACAAAGGTTGATCAGCGCTATTTACAATTAGTACATTGATACAAAAGAAGGCATACAAGTAATCCAAGTCGCTTTTTTTTTTTTTTAAATTTTATGGCTGACAGGTCTATGCATTGCGTTATGCTTAACAACCAGAGCTTTCGAGGCTCTATGGCTGGCGACAAGTCAGGAGATCTTCAGGCAAATAGGGGTGTGTGCAGTCGAGGGGCTGGGAGAGAAGGCCCAGTCGGGTGCGGAACAGAAGGACCCAAAGGAGATCACTCTAATAATGCATTATAGGCTGGTCCAGTTGAACTTCATGAAAACAAACCCAAAGGAAACCTTTTATTTGCATTCCATTTTTTCAAGCTGCAAGTTTTTTCTTTAATACATCATTATAAAGTAAACCTGTGGTTGATTGTGAAGGAAGAAATACCGTGGGTTTTCCCTTTTTTCTCAGTTTCCCAGAAATGTCCTCACCTTGGTCAGAGCCAGTCTTTTGAGAAAGTAAGCAGCATTTGGTGGGGAGCCTCTTTTATTCCAGCTTCCGATTTGAGGCGTAGAAAGCGACAATGTTTAAACCTGTCGAGTTGTTCTTCAGTCCCTGTCGAGACGTGATTTCTCAGAAGCAGCCACTCAATCTCTCAACCTTTGTTTTCCCTCTCTGAGTATGAGTTATAAATCAGAGGGTTATTTTGTTGCTGAGATTTTTTTTTTACTCCTGCAAGTTTTACAACTCAAAATAAATTATAAAAAACAATAGACTTCTAAAACCGAACAAGACAAAAATTGTGCAAAAATAACAAAGATATGTACACATTTTTCAGTCTGAAGAAATGTACAATAAAAACATAATTCAAAGAACATTTAAAAAATATAAACATTGCTTAAACTTTCCTAAGTTTCATATTGTTTCTGAAACTATTCTGGTCAGTTAGCTCTGTAATATAGTAAAACATAAATTATTACAAAATTAACACTATAAAAATTTTCTTTAAGAATATCTTCTGAACTTTTTTCAAAGGGTCTAACCTTGTTTATAATTTCTTAAATATTTGTAAGTCTTAAAATCTGCCTTAACCTTTTAAAAAACAAAAATCAAAAGTAACAATCGTCCCTTTAATTTGCAGTCTCTTTTTTCCCCAAGACGTAAATAAACCAGCATATAAGTGCACTTTTAACACTGTAGAAATGAAAATGAAATCATCCAAACTAATGACCTGGTACTTAATATCAACTCCTGATTTTTAAAAAAATCTTCATTTTATATTAAAAAGTTTAGTAATCCTACAAGAAACACTGTCAGTGCAATTCCATTGATTCAAATCGCTCCGTTTGCCTCCCGTCTTTGTGGATTCCAAGCGCGTGAAACTTAACAGTAGTCTGATCTTTGGGGTGGGGCGGACGGAAAGTAAAGGAAAAGTCAGGGTGGGGAGGAGGGTGGCACATTCATTTCTGGGTGCAGGGTGATGCAGACCCCCGTGGTGCCTCTGCTACCTGCTCTATCACCTGTTGCACGCTGTGACCTCTGCTCCTGACTGGGATTCCCTACCACAGCTTCTGCTGCTGCTGTTTCTCGCCAAGCTCTAGTGTGAAGCCCTTTACAGCGCTTTGTGGGGAGGCTGTCGTTCAGCTCTTCCACATGGCTCCTCTTCACCGGGCGGCCTGGGCAACTCTGAGTCGGGCATCTGAACACGGAGCACCAGCTCACCTCTGCCAGGCAGGCAATGGTCCTATTTACTCTCACCAGGGGTTCACCTCCAGTACTCCCAGGAGGCTGGGCCCAAGGGTAGCTCTGATCACCGAATGCCTTTCCCTTGGGAGTCCTCCCTCGGGCCCAGCCCGCTTTGGGAATCTGCACACTCACCGTGCCTTGGAATGGACTGGATTCCTAACAAGTGCAGGCCACCAGTCACCTGGTTCCTACCATCTTTTAAGGGATCTTATCCCCCATGCTCTGCTTCCTGCCACCCTCCCGGGCCCCTCTGCCTCTGCTTCTGACCTGGTGGATCTTTGCTGAGTGGCACAGCCGGTTGGTAGTGGTGTTGGGCAGATCCCATCATTAAATGGCCCTATTTCGATTTGGCCCCTAGCATTTGGCTCCAGCTGAGGGGGACTGTGGAAGCCTGTTGAGGGTACCCGGCTGTCCTCCACTCTCTCCTCCCCAGGAGGCTGTCCCAAGGGGTATGGGGACAGCTAGCAACCTGATAGCTGGTGGGGAGCCACTGAGCAGCAGGCGGGGAATGGAAGTGAACGGGCAGGAGAAGAGGAGGAAGGAAAAGAGCTCTGGACGCGCTGAAGTCCAAGAGCTTCAGACAGCGCCAACCTGGAACTGACATTCTGTGACCTCTGCCCTCGGGCCCGAGCAAGAGGACGGTGCAGTAGTAGCATCAGGAGCTGGGGCAGGGGACCCCACCTTGGGAAGAATGTATAAACATGGCAAATGAAAAATCAAAGAAAACACTGGTATTGTTTTCTGTAAATCTCAAGTTCATATTCTTTTGCCTTTTTTTTTTTTCTTCAAAACTAAAAATTGGTCAATTAAGAAAAAATAAAAGGAAGAAGAAGAAAGTCCAGAGCACAGGCAGGGTTCAGGAAACAGACTCCCCCATGCCCACTCCCCTCCCTCCTCCTGATGCCGCGCCACCTGGCACAGGTCACGACCAGGGACTGGTTTGGAAGTGGCTTCATAGTCTTGTTATGGAAGAGTCCTTATCCTGCCCATTCTGTTTGTGTTCTTCTAGGAAAGAAAAGAAAACCTTTTTCAAAACCATACATTTGGGATGATCCATGAGAACTAAGAGACAGAGCCTCAGTTTCCTCATCTGTTGCAGAAAGGGTAACATCCAAATTCCTGCACATGGCAAAGGCCTGGTGTGACAGGCACTAGGGGCTGGATACATTACAAAGTATCCCTGCAAGCAGGCATGATGGTCCCACAGTGGGGGAAGTGCAGATGCCATACTTTCATGAGGCAGGTCTGGAATAACGGAAGTCTTCACTTTTTTTCTCTATTGGTTCACTTTTTCCTACATAACCTATCCTATAACATAACATATCCAACATAACCTATATGTTGGGTTAAACATAGACGCTTTGGAGATACAGATTTTGGGTTCAAGTCATACTAGGGAGGCATGGCTCCCCCAGGAGCCTTCCTGGTTCCCCAGATCTCAGGCCCTGCTGGACAAAGCCCTTTGTCTCACTCAGGTTTACACAGCCGCTGCTTGCACACCTCCAGTGACAGAAATGCTGTCTCTCTAGAATAGTCCCATGGAGGAACTCAGCCCGAGTGCTCGCTGGGCTTTGCTGCCTGGTATTCGTCACCCCATTCAGGTTTGACAGTGCCCTTACGAAGTAGGCATCCATTGGCCATTTAACAGATGCAAAAACTGAGTCCCAGAGAGGCACTCTGCTCAAGATCAGACAGCTGGTAAGAATGATGATGGTAAGAATAATAATTGCCAGCACTGGCGGGTTTGCTGTATGCCAGACATTTTCAAGAAATTTTGTGTAAATAAATTAATGTGTCCCTCACAAAAGCCCATGAGGTTAGGGGCCATTATGATCTCTACTTTCTTAGACAAGCAAATGGAAACACAGAGAATTTAAGTGAATTGCTCAGGGACACACAGTAGTAACTAGAAGGCCTGGGCATGGAAGCCAGGTAGCTATTCTCTAAGAGGAGGGGAGATTTCACCCCATGCCCATTCTTTCCACCACGACTCTGGACTTTGCTCCCAGTAACTTACCTGTCGGCTGTGTCCTGGGCTGGGGATGCTTGCAGGACTGGATTGTGACAAAGCTAGGCTGCTATTTTTCCCAACCTGAAAGACAGCAGTGAAGCCCGCTCAGACCCCCAAGGCAGCGCAGGGGAGGCTGGACAGACACCACGTGTCGCCAGGGGAGGAGAGGGCCGATCAGCGTGCCTCGTCCCTCGCACTGGTCCAACTGAGAGTGACCGTGGCTCAGAGGGTGCCTGGAGGAGGGAGGTCCCCGGTGGTCAGACTTCGTCTCAGGGCCAAGGCCTTGGCAGGAGCCCCCTCCCTGCCCCAGTGCTGAGCTCTGCAGAGGCCTGGCCTGCCCACCTGTAGCCAGGCAGCCACCGGGCCCATCTTGTTTTAGCTCGGATTCCCTTGGAGCTGCTGCTGACACCTAGGCCTGTCCCTGGTTAGGTTCCCCGACAGGAGACAGCACAGGAAGCCAGGCGAGGAGGCTGCTGTCCTGAGCGGGGTCCCTGTAGGTCCCTGCACAGTGGGACTGGGGCCGGTCGCGAGGGTGTGGTCCTTCCCAGGGTCCTCAGGGAGCAGCCCCCTGTCCCTTGCTCATCTGCAAAGCCAGCTCTGACCTTTGGCCTACCCACACGTCCTCCTCCACCTTGACAGCTCTGCAGAAAGAGGCAGAAAGGCAGCTTTCACCACGGTGGCAAACTCTGGCCTTCCACCTATCAGGCAGATGGGCCCTCAACCGTTGTTTCTTCTCCAGGACCCTAAGAGAATCGGCACAGACCCCTGGGCCCTTCCTTCCCAAGTACATGGAACTCGCTGGCGGTGCCCTGGACAGAGGCTTTTCTCCCAGGGCCTGCAGGAGGGAGCCGGTACAGACCAGGCCCCAGGCAGCAGTTAAGGGCACTGGCTTTGTTCTTCTTAAATTCCCTTCTGATGAGCACCCTCTGGTGGAGGCTTCCCTGCTCTTTTTGCCCCTGGTCTTCAGAGATCTGTTGAGTTCTCTGAGCATTTCCTGTACTCCTGCAGTGCTCACGATGAAGGCCAAGTGCCCAGACTCCAGAGCCAGAAGGCCAGGTTACATCCCAGCGCTACTATTCCCTTGCTGTATGATTTGGGGCACCATGCCTAACGTCCTGTGACTTGGCTGACGCAGTCGTAAAATGGGAGCACTAACAGGTAATACCTGAGTTAGCATCTGAAGAGCTGGGACACAGGCCCTCACAGGTGCCCACTCTTGGAACTTTATCCAAAACGAGTGGGACACTGTGGCCCCCTGGACCCCTAGGCCCCACCTGGTCTGCTCCCTCCACAGCTGCATTTTCACAAGAGCCCTGCGCACATCAGTGTTCACATTCGGGTCTGAGCAGCCCTGGGTGTGCTCTCCAGCCTGAGACTGGAGGTGATACACACCTGCAGTGTGGTCTCTGGGGAGGCCCCGCAGGTGCCACCCCCAGCCCTGGACCCGGGAGTCTAGGTCGGCCCAGGTCTGGCCTCCTCTTGCCTTGGCCACAGCTGCAGCTGTCTGGCTTGGGTTCCACACTTGCTGCTGGCCCTGTGTGTGCTGTGATTTGGGGTCCCCTCAGGAGGTCTTCCTCACAGGGTTTTAACAAGTCTCATACACAGTGACACACAACATTAAAACACCTTTTAACAGGGGCCAGGGATTTAGCTCAGTGGTTTCGCTGCCTGCTGCGCAAGCGCAAGGACCCGAGTTCTATCCCTGGTACCAAAAAAAACAAAACAAAACGAAAAACACTTTTTAACAGCGGCCTGTGTGGTGGTAAACTACAGGCTTGGGAGCAAACCTTGGCTGAATTTCTGAGTGGGGCCCTTAGACCGGAAGGAGCTCTAGGCTGTGCCTTTTCCTCTCACTGCTAGGCTGGGGTGAGGTGGCCTTTCCTAAGCAGGCCCCCCAGGCTGAGGAGACAGACTGGATTTGAAGATGGGATCACAGTCCAAGCTAGCAGTTTCTTTCGGGGCCAGCCGCTCGTTCCTGGGTTCTGACAACACATACTCCTGCGGCACCACGGCAAAGGGTGCTGCTCTGTCCCTAGGTGGTGGCTGCAGTTTTACTCTAGGAGGACAGTTATATTAGGAGGAGGTGAGGATTGAGGCAGCCTGGAGAAGCAAGAAGACCGGTCACCCAGGAACCCGGGGCACACACAGGCTGCCACTCATTCCCCAGGTCATTTAACCTGCCTGGGGCTCAGGCTCTTCCTGCAGGACTTGCAACAGATCAGAGCAAACTTCTTAGTGACTGAACTCTTTAATGAAATTGTCCTCAGAACCTCAAGATATAAAACAGAAGAGGAGCGGGGAAGTCAGAATCTCTGTGTGCCTCAGTTTACCCATCTGTGAAATGGCGACAACTGTACCAGGTACACTGGGTGGGAGTGAGGACTAAATGAGGTCATCTCTGCAAAGTGCTCAGCACTGTGCCTCATGCACAGCACTGGTAAATGAGCCGTTCTCAGAGCAGAGGGCGCAGAGGGCCCACGCGGGACGCGAGAAAGGGAGCCACACTTGTGTCACCTGCGAGCCACCTGGCCAAGCAGGGGCACTGCCCAGCTCCCCCTGCCCCCCACAGCTGATGAAGGCAGTGCCAGGAGGTCCCTTACCTGCCGAGAGGAGGTGCTGTTCACAGGCTCGGGCACTGGTGCAAGAAGGCTGGGCGGGTTCTTTTTGTGAACGCTATTCATACCAGGCATTTTAGTGATTTTACAGGCTTTGTTACTAGCACTCGAGTTCTTACGCTTTTTTCCTTCTGATTTGTCAAAAGAGAGGGGCAGAGAAGACACGGCATTGTGTGAGGCCAGAGAGAGGTCCCCCGCGTGGAGCGCGAGGGAGGGCACAGAGAGGGGACAGGAGTCACTGCTGCCGCCCACCGTGCCCACCTGTCTTGCTATGTCTGCGGGGCCGCCGGGCGTCGAGGTCCGTCCTGAGGGGTCCAGCTTGGCACTGAGTGGGCTCACCCCATTGTTGGAGCTGTGCACAGACAGACTGGCATAGGCAGGGGCCGCCGGGTAGGAGTTCAGGGCAGAACTGGCATTCAAAACACAGTTCTTTCTGTGGGGCCCTGGCGGTGGAGATGTGAGGGAGGCCTGCAAGGACAGGGAGGAGGAGGAGGAGGAGGAGGAGGAGGAGGAGGAAGTCGAAGGCTGCGGCTTCCTCTTTTTGTTACTTGGAGACTCATCGCTACGGGCAGACAGGTCTTTGACTTTTGAGGATTTGCTGGTTTTGGTTTTGGATGGCTTGTGGCATGGGGAAGGGATGACGGCTGGTATCGGGGAGACGGCGGATGGGGCCTTGAAGGTTGAGTCCATGATGCTGAGGGTTGCGGCCACATGGGGGAAAGCTGTGGTGTGGGACATGAGGACACGTGGGTCCGATGATGCCACAAAAGCTGCGTCTGAGAGCATGGCGGATGTCATTATGTAAGAAGAGGTGAGTCTCGAGCTGATGGGAGCTGAAGGAAGATATACAGCGCTGGGGTTGCTGAAAGGCTGCAAAACAGATGCTGGCACGGGGGTGGAGATGTGGGCTGCTGGCGAGGGCATGGGGCTATCTGCCGCAGGAGGGATCTTCCTAAACACGAGAGAAGAGCCAGAGAGAAACAGTGAGACATCAGGTTGGCACTGCTCGGGAGGCTCGATGACATCTAAGCATCGGGGCGACAGAGGACACCCGGCAGGACCAGACTATGGAGGATGGAGTCTGGGAGGATGGAGGGTCTGAGGATGGCCCTTCCTCATGCTGCCCTGCTGCAACAGAGCAGCTACTTGCGGGTTTTCAGATCTGGTCTCCATGCTTGGCTACTGGAGTTCGGCTTGGGGTTGCTGAACGAAAGGCATTGTTATTTAGACTACATGTATCCCATCAGCCTACCCACTCTGTCTCTTGTTTGTTTGGCAGTGATGAAGGTGGTTTTTATGAGCAATGGTCATTTCACATTTCAGGTGGAAACAGGACAGAGATTTGCCACCTGGGCCAGGGCTTCCCCCTCTGCCCACTGCAACCCCGATCCCGTTCCCTGTCCCCCATCCTGTGCTTGGCTGGAGCATCCCGGGAAGGGCCCTCTCCCCAAGGCCAGCATCCTCCTGCATTTGCTGTCTGCCTCCTCTGGTTATTCCAGGGAGAGGCACTTTTGTGCTATCTCATGGCCACTGGGTCCTGGGGGTCGTGGAGGACTGAGGCTTGCGAAGTGACAAAGAGTGGCCTGTACCCGGGACTGATGTGTCTCCCTTTTAAAACCCCAGCCTGCCTCCACTATTGCTCAAGGAGTCATCATGGGGCTGCCTCTCAATAGGTCTTCCTGCCTCCGTTAGGAACAGGTCAGAGTGTGGGGACCCTCGTGCATCAGAGAAGGGGACAGGAATTTCTAGTTTGTTCTGAACACAAGGCAGGAATCAAGGAGGGGAAGCAATATGGCCAGGGGAGGGGAGCCACTGTTTTCCTCTTTGGTCTTTCTGGAGCTAGGGGGTGAGGGTGATGCCTTCGAGCTGAGTCCCTGGGCCCAGGCTGGCATCAGGCAGGGGGTTCATTCTTGGGCCTCTCTACAAACTGTCTTTCGACTTAAATGGCTCCCACTCATAATCTATGGCCTAGGTTGATTCTGCTGTTGCTCTGGGGACCAGGGGAGGCACAGCAGCCACGGATGGTGTCACCCCCTGTTCCTGATATTGCAGGAGAGACCACTGAGCTCAGGGGCTGAGTGTGCTCAAGCCGGTTCTTCCCCATCTCTCACACTGATCCCCAACAGGTCCCTGGGAGCTGGTTTTCACAGGCTCACCAGTGGCTAGGAACTAGCTTTCTTTCTCTGAAAGCAGCACTTGATGGCAGTAGGCCTGGGGCTCAGGACACGTTACTGGACAGGCCCTCACCCTGCCCCTTTTCTCTGGAGTCTGCCCTCTAGCTGTGGAACCAGGACCAGGTGCCAGGGCACTCGGGACAGAGGCTCCGTGGAGAAGTAAGTGGCTCTCCTAGCATTCCTCTCTCTGAGCAATCCCTTCTCTGCCTGAAAGCAGCGGAGCCTGTGGCTTCCATCTTCAGGGTGGAATCCAGAGGAATCCTTGAACACAGAAGCACAGTGTCCTAGAAAATGTCAAGAGAAAGATGTTGCCAAACCCACAGTGGCCATGATGGTGTTTGAGAACTGCCTTCCTCTCGAGTCTAAGGAACATAAAAGCTCCTGTCAGCACTAAACGAGGTGCTCCCAAGTCCTTGTTATAATGAATGAATGAGGGGATGGACGAATGAATGGATGGGTAGGTGGGTGGATGGGTGAGCGGGTGAATTCTCAGCAGCAACATAACCATATTGTCAGGGACTATACATGCTGGGCAAGGACTCCCATAGAACCAGCCCGCAGAGACCTGCACATGTCCTCAGAGCTGTCTGGCACTGCACAGCCCCTTCCTAAGCAGGCTGGGGGACACTTTTGGGAGCAGGAGGCGCCAGGAAACTTTCTTGCTGTCCTTGTTACCTTGCTGCCCATACTACAGCCACCCACTCAAGCTTTCCTCAGCTGAACCTTCTTTCCCAGCTAAAGGAGAGGCAGAAAGACATGGTGGAGAGGTTTGGCAGCTACTTATAGTGAAAGGAGATCTACAGATAGCAGATGGGTCATACAGGGAGGACCCTACTCAATGACCCTGAATGGGATCTACTCTGAAAGTCCCAATTTATATTTTCCCCATTCAACCGTGTAAGTTCATACTTCAAAGTGTGCCAACCAGCGGAGCTGAAGGCCTAACTCTCACCTGACCCTCACTCCGGACTGGAATGGGTGTGGCTTTTGGAATACTTTCTGTCCTTGCCTTTCCTCTCCCCGCTAATCCTCAGTGGGCATCACGGGCAGGAGGGAGGTGGGGCAGGGGAGAAGAGGGCCAAGGGACAGTCCCTGGGGCCCCAGTCCCCTGTGCTGAACGGTTTCTGTGCTCTCTATCTAGGTGCCACACGGCAGCAGGCTGCAGCTCTGTGGGCTGTGTGTGCTGCCTAGGGAAGTCCCGTGCAAAAGCCCATGGACTCGGGTAAGTTCCTCACAGTGCCCATCCTCCCCTGCCAGCTGGCGTGGAGATCCAGATGCTGACCTGGCTGAAAGAGAATACTGTGCTGGCGTCTCCTGGTGCAGAGTTAAATGCTTGTTAAAGAAAAAAGAGTCTTGGCCGTTCTTTTTCTTCCTAATGTCTTCCACGCCCCCATCGGCTGCCATCCCTCCAGGTTCGGGCCCGTCGGGGCCTGGGGTTTGGGCAGCGAGGCTGAGAGGGCAGCGGGGTGCTACGCTCTCCAGAGTTGACACCCAGGCAGCCCCAATGTTGCTCAGTGACAGCAGATTGGTTAGGCAAGTCCTGAACAGGGGGGAGGGACCTGACGCCCGGTGGCTCGGGCTTCTGTGCCTGAGGAGGAAAGGAATATGGAGCTTGAGCTGAAAGGACAGCAGGGAGCGAAATACAGATCAACACATTCCTTCCACGGTCTGGGATTTACACTTTCACAACACTGGAGGGCAGAGGGCTGGCTGCCACCTGGGGGACAAGCACAGTGTGACGCGCACCAAGGAACCGAGAACAGGGTGGCCCGCAGGCAGTGACCCTTGGCTGTGGTTTTGTTCAGACACAGGTAGACATCGCAGGCACCATTTGGACCAGGGACGGTCACTCATGTGGGAAGAAACCATAAGCTTCTCTTGTGGCCCTTTCCTGCTATATGTGAAATGTCGACCTGGAGTCCTAAGTGCCCTGTGAGGGCTGGGGCAGATGAAATGGGGCTCATATCTAGACGGTCACCGTGCAAAGCGGCTGAGGAGCCAGAGCTGCCTGGCAGGGAGGAGGGGACCTTGGGGAGGGGCAAGTTGTGGCTTCTGTCCCCTTCTGCTTCTTAAAGGCTTTTCTTCCTCTCCTGGGCTTCCTGGGCCAGGCAGGGGAGAGCTGGGACATCTGGAGACCCCCTTTGTAGGAGCGACACCCAGAGGTCGGGCTTCCATTACCAACTGGCCAAAGTGTAGCCCCTTGCGGTTAGAAGTGGCCTGGGCCTGTTATTCCTTCCCAATACGTTCTACCTAATGAAAGGCTTCTTTCTTTTTTGTAAATCCCTTATGAAAGTGTAATTATACTGGGAAGTACTGGAGAATAAAGGGTCCTTAGAGGAATGGAATGCAAGCTGCAGTTTAGGGGGGAAAGAGGGACAGGAGAGGCGAGGAGGGTGCCCTAAGGAGATGGGAAGGGCCAAAGACAAACTTAACCCACTTGACAACATTGTGCGAAGTCTGCCCTGTTGGCAATTGCACATATATTTTCCACAGGGCAGCAAACAACTAGCAGTTGGTCGATCACCATTATGAAATGTTTGGCATTCCTATTGTAGCATCAACAAACAGCAGCATATTCTGAACATGCTTAGATGCTCTGAGTAGTAGTAAAAAGGCCCCAAATGCTATTAAAGACATGAGACCTCTTCTAATGTCCTTTTCCCCGAGTTTAGAAGATTACCAATACAAATCGATCTCTGAGAAGGCAAAACAAACAGCACATCTTACATGTTTATAAAACTCTTCAGGCAAACCCTTAAGAAGGGTAGACAGTGACCAGTCATGAATGCTGATTTGGGGTCATTTTGCTCTGTGAAAAGCCAGCTGTTGACGTTCACATAGAAAGTTAGGGTTCAGGTAATTTGGGGGCAGCTCTGATCTTATATTATCTAGAAAGTGCTCACTTACTTCCACATCTGTGAATTCAAGTGTTTTTCTACCATGGAGTTTATTGCGAACCGAAAACGATCCCATCTTCTATCAAACACATAGTACCCTCGTCCCATGAGGCGGCTCCCAAATGAGCAAAACTGTGAGGGAAAAAAACACTTTAATTTTGATTACAGGTTAATAAGCTAATATAAACCATACAGAGAAAAATAACATTTGCATAAAAACACACAGGGGTACCGTTTGACTCAAAATAAAGAAGCAAAAAGTACCAAAGCTAAAAATATTTCTGTGATGCTATGGTTTGAGCTCTGGAGTCTGTGGACCCTCACACCATGACTTGACAACAGCTATGTTCAGTTTTCTGGGGCTTGGAGGGCTGCATCCTCCACTCCCGGGACTGAGCCAGCATTTTAGAATAGATTCTTTTTTTTTTTGGTACCAGGGATCGAACTTGGGTCCTTGCGCTTGCAAAGCAGGTGGTAGAACCACGGAGCTAAATCCCTAGCCTTAGCATTTTAGAATAAAAGGCAAAGGCACAACAATAACCAGCAGCCAGGGTGATTTCCAGCTCCATCTAGTCGTCATTATCCAGCCTCCTGAGGGCCTCGGGGTTCCCTGCCTCCCATCCCAGTCCCAGGTACTGCTGGTTCTGTTCCCATTCAGCCTTCCTAGCTGATGTCACAGAGCCACTTCCCTTCCCAGGCCTGGCCTCAGCCCCAGGACACATCTCACACCTATTGCTCGCAGGTTTGACCTCAGGATCACTGAGTGGCTGTGTGAGGTCACATGACTAAGGCCCACGTACTCGATGACTACCAATGCCTAAAGAATAGGGACCTCATTCTCTTCCTCTTCACCGTGAGGATCATAGAGATTTGGGGTGAAGCATGGATTAGTGAGACAAAAAAAACTATTTAAAGCAAACCAGTACATTTAAAACACATGGCTGATGGCAAGCTCAAGACCTTGAGTTCGATTCCCAGTACCAAAAAAGAAGACAAAGAGACCAAACCCCTCCCCCCAAAAAACTCCTACATGGCTGAAGTATGGGCATTCAGAGGCTTAATAAACACCATCTGATTATGATGTTAGGACAACTGGAAGGCCAGTAGACAGAAATGCAAGCCTCTGCGAAGATGACATTTGGCTGGTCTGGAGCACAGGCGAGCCTGCAAATGACTCTATAACTCAAACAGCTCCCCCTCCTCAGGGCTCCAAGCTGCTCCCTGGCCCCCAGCCCAGACAGCGCTGGGTTGGCACCCACTCCACAAACCCATCAGGGAACCTGTCTTAGGAACGGCTCTCAGGAGGAAATGCAAGACATTCCCTTTGTTCTCTTTCACTTGTGTTTGGGGGCTTTTGCATTAAAATCTTGGCACCCACCAAATCTGGTACAACTGATGAAAAACACTCTCTGCAACCTTCATATTAAGTTCTTTTTTGACCAAGCTGGAAAACGTACAAGGGAATTCTCTGACACAGATGCCATTCCCAGCTATCTGGGGGAGCTGTCACCAGGTCTCGACATCCTTTCTTCCTTCATCTCAAGTGCAAGGACATGCTGAACAAGCAGTGTGTCAGTTGGCCATGAGAGGACAAAGCAAAGAAACAAATCACGGTTTTCCCATTTAAACCGGCAAAACACGAGGGGCACACAAATGCACCAGTACCCAGGGCACAGCTTATATCCTCTGGACAAAGGTCTTGATGTCTCCATGGTCTGGCGTTCTGGTACAGCCTGTGTCTCCTTCACACTTGAGAGCCAGAGGTACTTTTCATTTTTCGCTGCCTGTGCATCCAATTTCATGTAGATGCAGGGCAAGGTGGCTGGTGAGGTGCCTGTTCCACTGGCATACTGTTCACTCAGCAGAGCTGTGGCTTGTTCCTGTGGTGACCATGGCAGACTCTGCCAGCCACCAGCCTCACCTCTGTGTCTACTCGCATGTGGGCCCAGTCTTTTCCTTGCTCACAGGACCAGACCTTTGTTCTGCCATCTGCCCAGCAGCAGTAACAGGGAAGGTGTGTCTCCTCCCAGAAACTTGGGGTGAGTCACAGCTGGGCCAAGCTGTGTCACCGCAATCTTTCCTTCTCTACCTATCAGTGTAGGGGTAGGCATGTGGCCCAGTTCTGATAGATATAGGGGGAAGTCTACTGGGGGTTTCATAGGGAGAGATTTTCTTTTTCCTGGTACCAGGGATTGAACTCAGGACCTTGCATTTGGGAGGCAGGTGCGGCACCACTGAGCTAAATCCCTGGCCCCATTTTTTTTTTTTTGAGATAAAAAAAAAAACAACTAAGAAAACACAGCATCTCAGAAGACCCTTTCCCTGTGTGTTTCTTTCTATCCTGTGCAGAATCCTACTAGGCGAGGCTGACATTGGAGGTGCAGTGGATGTACTGAGGCCAGAGACGGCTGAGATGGCTGTCCCTCAGCCCTGGGACACTGTGAAGACACTGAAGCAGGCTTGAAAGCTCCCACCTCAAGACTTCTTGCTGTGTGAGACAACAAAATGTCCTTTGTGCTCACGCAGATGAGTTGAGTTTCCTACTACTGCCAAGCAAAGGTGTCCCACACTGTCTCTTGGCCAGTACGGAAAGAGTCAGGGACAAAGTGCCAGCTGCGGGTGAGCCAAGGTAGCCACCTTCCCAACACAGGAAGTGAGTGGGCCTGGCCTCGCCTCGTTGCACAAGATAGGAGGGAGGAGAGGCTCACTCCACCTTGCTGCCGGGCTGATTTCCCATGTAGTCCCTGAGATCTGTTCAGCAGCTCCAGAGTAAACCACATGGGGTCCCCTGTTCTGGGCCCCCTGCATTTGGCTCTGTGATGGCTGCACCAGGCATTTCCCTCCTCAGTGCTCCAAAGGCAAATGTAAACCAGCCTTCAGCTGAGGCCTCCATTTCCCACTTTGGGTTCAGAGACCTTCTAAACCACCAAAGTGGACTTACCCAAGCAATGGGAAATATGCCCTTTTTGTTAATAAGCAATCAGGCTGACACAAAATACTTCCACCTGGCCTCAACACTCTCTCTTTCAGTTCTGTGCCATGTGGTCACGCTAATAACAGCAAAACCTAGAGCCCCATTGAGGGCTGGTACCCGACAGATCGCTAATGCAGTTTCCAGAGCAGGTGGGCCTGGCTAACTCTGGGCACCAGGGTCCACGTTTAGATGGGCAAGGGCAGAAGGGCAGCTCCCAGGTACACTCACAGAAACACCCTTTCTCTAGCAGCTTCAATTCATGGGGGACAGCAGACACTCGGGTGCTTCAAAGGTGATTGCCAGCCGGAAGCCCTTCCGTATGCTTCTTGATATCAAGGGCATTTCCAATGCTGGGATCCAAGCTCACAGTAAGCCTTTTGGTAAAGGCTGTCCTGGTGCCCTTCCTTGGGACTATGCACCTCTGCCATGATCACCACGGGTCTACAAAGCAGAGGAAAGGATTTGGAGGGACAGGAGGAGGCCTTACCGCGAGAGGTCTGGGGTGGTGCGTGGAGAACTGACAATCTAACTTCTCAGATTCGTCAGCTCCGTCCATCTCCCCTTCATCACTGGACAGCCGGCTGGCAAGGTCAGCTCCAACTGGGGGAAGAGGGGTCTCCGGAGTGTAGGCGCTGTGATTTGAGGACGTGCTGCTGCTTATGCTGTTTGCAGATGATGGTCTAAAGAGCAAGAGAGGAGAACCATGGAATCAACTTTTCTGCAGTAACAGGATCCACCCAGTTTCACGGTGTCCAGGGAGCTGCCTGGTCAGCCCGGCCAGCTCAGGGAGGACAGGTAGAGGGCAATTTTGCAAGAGGGAAAAGACTAAGGCTAAGGCTAAGGGTGGGCGGTCATGTGATCAGCTCTGGACAGTGAGAGGCCATGTGTGAGTGACAGTTCATGTCACCAAACTTGTCTTCTATAAGTTCAGTTACAATGACTCACCCATTTGCACGGAGGTAATTTGTATTTGCCCAATGCAGCAGTTGCTTCCCTTTGAAAGTGCAACCAGGTGAGCAAGACCAGCCCATTCACAAAATATCCATAATGAAGAAACAGGCAGATGAATGCTTTCTTTGCTATTATTACACTATAACTTTAGGAAACTTACAGTGGCATGAAAAAAGGTTTTGTTATAATGAGAGGCCTCTGTCCCTTCCTCCACAGTTTCTTAATACTGACCTTTGTGTAGTTTAACAGTATCTTCTGAGAATAACTGTTTCAAAGTAATGTTTGGCAAGCACTTTATCTACTCCCTGGCATGGTCAGTTTATTGAAGGTGTTGGAGAGAAATTTTTCTCAATGAAGGAATGGATGAATTCCACGAGACTGAGATCATCCAACAGATATCGTCTCAACTGTGATTATAGTTATAAAAAAAACACATCACAACAACAGGAAGCACTATGTATTTCTAAGCAGTAAAGAACAAAGCAAGCTCAAACCGAGAACAAACACATCCATATTAGTAGAAAAATTAGAAGAGGAACAGTTGTTAGTATTTTTTCCTTTTTTTGGGTACCGAGGGTCGAACTTGGGACCTTGCCCTTGCAAAGCAGGTGGCAGAACCACTGAGCTAAATCCCTGGGCCTGTTAGTATTTTTTCTACTTTTTCAGTTTCATCAGATGGTTGATCAGAAAGAGGTGGCAGAGACAGGGAGAAAAAGATTTTGGGAGGAAAAACTCGAGGGTTTTTTCTTTAGAAAACTGCTTTCCTGCTTTGAAAGGTGCCCCTTCAAATCACACGAGGGAGCACTTTTGATTTGTTACCTTTCTCTCTCATTTTCTCCCTGGACTCTCTGTTAGCTTGAAATTGATTTGTTACCTTTTTTCTCTCATTTTCTCCCTGGACTCTGTTAGCTTGAAATGTTTTCAGGCCTCAGATACCTGAGCGCAAAGCAGGTTCTAAAAACAGTCACTTAAAAAGAAAGAAACAGTGGTGGAAATAACCCACATATCTCTCACAGATGAGGAGATAAACAATAGACACAATGGAATACTATTCAGGCCCCCCAAATGAATGCAATTCTGATGCTCACCACCCTAGGGATGAACCTTGAAGGCATTATGCTAAGTGAAATAAATAAGCACAAAGGACAAATATTTTATGATTCCGTACACCAGGGAGAATAGTGGTTATAGGAGCTGGAGAGATGGAGGGAAAGGGAGTGAAGATTTCATGGGCACAGAGGCTCAATGGTGGCAATGAAAAGGTTCTGGGGATGGGTGGTGGTATGGTTACCCTATACCATGGTGAATATACTTAATGTCATTAAACTGTACATTAAAAGTGGTTAAATAGCAAATTTTGTATTGTATATATTTTGTCACAAAAACAAAGGAGAACAAGGCCATAGGTAGTTCTGGAGTGTCATAAGAATTCAGTTGGGATGACTGTTTATTATTGACTCTTACCTTCCTGTACTTATAAAAACAGGAATGCCATTCATTCTGCATGCTAAGGGTGGACAGTTCAAGGGCCCTACCTCCCACTTTCCTCAGTATCTACACTGCTGTGCTGGAAAGGGAAACTCTATTAATTGCTTACAGCTGAAGACCAGATAGCAAAACAATTGACACGATGCTGAAACAGACAGAAAACAGCACTGCGCCCCTGACAGGATCAAGTGCTGTCAGCATTTTGATTTATGTCCTTCCTATCTTCTGTGCATACATATGCCGTGTGCGTGTGTGTGCATGTGCACGCATGGCTGGCCTTGAGCTTGTGATCCTCCTACGTCAGACTCCAGAGTAGCTGAGACCAAAGGTGTGCACCACCATGTCCAGTTATGCGCATGCATTTTAAACTAAGACCTGGCTCACATTGTACATATTATTTTAAGACAGACTTTTAAAAAACCTAGTGATGTTGTGGGAATCTTTCCATGTATCTTTTAAAAACTTTCTCCAGTGATGTGTATTACAGACATGTCATAGTTAAGTAACTGATCTATGTTGTTTCCAAGTGTTCTAATAGGGTCTTCTTGAAGTGCTCCCGGAAGACCATCCTCTCCCGCAGGGTGAAAGTGAGCTTGGTTTTGTTAACTTGATATCGGGAGCATGGTTATACAGCAATTTATCTTTATTTTTTAAAGATGCTGGGCCGGGGATTTAGCTCAGTGGTTCTGCCACTTGCCTCGCAAGCACAGGACCCAAGTTTTACCCCCAGTATCAAAGAAAAAAAAAAGATGCTTTTGGAAGCCTTTGGGGTAAAATGCCATGATATCTGCAACTTAGTTCAAAATATATAATCAAAATATGTAGAAAAAGCGTATGTTCCAAAATATTCACATAACAACTTAAAAAGTAGGTAGGTAGGTATTCATTATACTATTATCTTTACTTCTCTGCACATGGAGAAATTTCCATAACCAAAGTTAAAAAAAATAAAAAGAAGAGAGTTAATAGTACACATATATGTAAGAAAGTTACTAAAGAGTCATGTGTTTTTGGGTAGTTTTATTTTTCTAGCTTTATTAAGGTATGTATTATATTTTATATAATACATAAAGTTACATATATTTAAGGTATGCAGTGTGATGATTTGGTATGTATATATCTGTGAACTGATTACTATAATCAAGTTAGTTAATATATCCATCACTTCCTATAGTTACTTCCTTTTTTTTTCATAGTAAAAACACTTAAGGTCTACTTCCTTACCAAGTTTCAAGTATATAACACAGTATTATTAAATACAAGGGATGATCAAAATATATGTGTAAATAAAAGTAAAAGACACATGGCCATTAATCCCCCTCAAAATACTCCCCTTCACTTTGAACACACTTATCCCATGGTTCTTGCCACTTCTGGAAGCAGTTCTGGAGTCCTCTTTTGTGAGCATCTTTATGAGGAATAATAAAAAAGACAAAGAATGCTGCTGCCAAGTGCTATCCAATGGAAAGGCAGGCTTGTAAAAACATTATGGTGTCCTCAATCTGCCTTGTTCACTGGGTTCGGCAATGGGTGGCTTCTGGCTCTTTCTCAAAGTTTCCCCAAAGGGAAACATTTTGAATGGATCCAGGACATCAAGGCAGCCATGAGGGCACAACTAAAGACACTCATGAAAGAGGACTTCCAGAACTGCTTCAGAAAGTGGCAAGAACCATGGGATAAGTATGTTGGAAGTGAATGGGAGTATTCTGAGGACTGATGGCAATGTCTTTTACTGTAATAAAAATTTTAAAAATGTTATTGTTTTTTTAAATCACACTGCATAATGTCACCATGCTGTATGGTCTCCAGAATGTATTCATTGTATTTTTAAAAATTTTTATTTATTTATTTTTTTTGTGTGTTACTGGGGATTGAACTCAGGACCTTGTGCTTGTCAGGCAGGCGCGGTGCCACTGAGCTACATCCCTGGCCCCAAGAATGTATTCATTTTATAGCTGAAAGTTGCCCAGCATCTTCCTCTTCATCTCTTTGCCTCTGGTAATCAGCTTTCTACCCTCTGTTTCTATAAATTTGACTTTTTTAGGGTCCACATTTAAGAGGAAGCATACACTCCTCTGACGTATTTTACTTAGATAATGCCCTCAGGGTCCATACATGGTGCTGAAAAGGGCAGAATTCCCTTCTTTTTAATGGCTTAATAATATCCCACTGTGTAACACATACCAAAATATTTTTATCTACTCATTCATCAGCAGACACTTAGGTTGTTTCCATATGTTGGCTTTAGTGAATGATGCTACGGTGAACTTGGAAGTATGAAGAACTTCTTGTAAAATGGGGCAGGGGTATCACACACATTATCTCTTCTCCCTCCCCAAATCCTATTAAAAGGACAGTAAAGGGGGCCAGGGATTTAGCTCAGTGGTTTTGCCGCCTGCTGAGCAAGCGCAAGGACCCAAGTTCAATCCCTGGTACCAAAAAAAAAAAAGGACAGTAAAGGGATGAAAAAGGTGTTGGCACCAAAGAACAAAGAGATCAGCAGAAAATGGTGATTGTTAAAAAAAAAAGAAAGAAAATGGTGACGGTTATCGTGATGACTTCCCAACACCCATTTGACCCCTAAACTAACAGGAATCCCTGTAATCTTGCTTAATAATGATAGGTTTAGAAAAGGGCACAAGAAATAAAAGAACCTTATTTTCTTGGTGGGGTCCTTTTGGAAAGAGACACAAGGCTCTGGTGGAAGAGGTTGATAGTAGAGGAGGCTCTTCGTTCAAGGGCAGGAAGCACAGAGGGAATCTGTACCTTCAGCTCAATTTTGCTCTGAACTCGAAATGGCTCTAAGATGTCAGGACTGTATAGAGACTATATAGAGAGGGAGAGGGAGAAGGAAAAGAGTCCCAACCTCAGCTGGACCTTGTATGTGGAGGTGCCTGGAGTTGGTACAGCCATCCTGCTACAGGACTTTGAAGAGCTGCCAAGAGACTGAAGGGGGTGGTCTTTGGGGTGTGTTTCCTTCACCTCCGGACTTCTTGTCGTATGTGATAAGAAATTTCCTTCTTATTTAAGCTTACTGTAGCCCAGGTTTCTGCTACCTGCACTGGAAGCACTCTAACTGATCAGAGCATGAACAAGATATTTTAACGTATTTTTAGAACACAGAATGTGGCTGGAGAAGTGTTGACTAATGGAAAGCAGCTGACCTACTAGAGCATTTCTGAGAAGCCAGGCACTTGAACCTACCTAGGGCTGCAAAAATCATGCAAGAGGTGAGGACTAG